GAGCCACAGACCAGGTCCGCCGCTGGGGGCTGGGAGGCTTGCTGCTTATTAGCACTGGCTCTCCTGGCTCCCATGGCCCCGGTCAGCGAACCCGGGGGAGTTCGTTGGCCGTGAAAATGGGGCCGAGTAGGAAGGCGCGCTGAATGTTCCAGCGCGCCTTACCTGGAGGAGAGGGGAGTTGCTCCCCATGAGGGGGCTGCTAAGGCGGCCAGCGCTGACAGGGTCGCGGAAGTGTGCGAAAGCGTTCCCGTGACCCTGCCGATATGCGCCTAGGTGTAACATCGTGGGGGTTTTAGTCGGTGCGAGTCCGACATAACCCGTTCTTGCCCCCGCGAGGGCGGGTATGCGTAGGCATTTCCTCCACGTCAACAAAAAAAAAAAAAAGTCGTCGCACACGTTAGTTTATCATTTATCAAAAATGTAGTACTACTAGTACTAGATTTTTTTAATAGTCGTAATTCTGGGTAGTTGTGTAGGACAGTCGATGCGAGATTTGATGCAGTCGATAGGCTAAGGGGAGAACGTATTAATTATCCGTATCCGAAGTGTGTATATATTTGCGATGAAAGTAATTAACCTGCCTAACCTCTGACAACATCATCATTTATTAAAATCATTTAAATGATAGTGGTAAAGAAATCTACAACACTAATAGACGTTCATAGAATAATGTATTGTGAGAATATGTCAGCTGGGCACAGTTTGAGAAATCAAAAGCAAGGGTTGATTGTTGGTTTAGTTGTATACTATATGTGTTGGCGTCGCGTTGCCAGATATTATTATTAATTATCGAAATAGCACAATTTAGGTTAGATAATTTCATTGTGCGTACGATACTGTATGTTCGTTTTTCGTTTGTTTGAGTTATGTTTCTCTTGTTTTATATTTGACGTATTTATTTTGTTTTGTTCTACTTTAGTATTTATAACTATAATTCTTTATTTCTTTTATTTTATTTTTTGATAAAGTTAGTGTTTCTTTTTTGTGTGCGTCCTTTTTTGGTATATTAATTTAACATAATTATAGTAAAGAAACATTTCTTTTCAGACCAAAATCGAGAAAATTGCTTTGATATAAACAAAAGTTGTTTGGTGCTGGAATCAAACTTATAAACTTTAAATTCTATGCCATTATTATCACTTTGAGAACGTAACATAAAACCATTTCACTCAGGGCTCTCTTATCCCCCACGTGTATCTTAAAATATATATAGAAGCGCAAAATCGCATTTGCGTTCATTCAAAGAGAAATTGTTGTTTGCCCTTCACAATACGGGAGCGTTACCTTGACTAACGGTGTTAGTACAACCACACTATTATCAGTCGCGCGCCACGTTTCGCGAAATTAACGGAGCGTAGATAAACCACGTAGTAAGCGCACGGTTCTAATTAGATGCAGTCTGTTTGGTGAACTTTTTTTTCAAGTTTGTTTTAGTTGGCGATTTTACCGCAAACCTCCACGCCCCACACTAAAACCGGCGAAGCGAAACATACATCGCCGAATTTCTTTTGGTCCTGAATGTGTAAAATGTACCTCTTGCTGTATACGAAGACCACAAACTAACTTCTTCTTCTTCTTTGTACTTAAACCAGTTATGCCAAATTTCGTGATTCTAAGTTAACGGGTTAACATATAGGTTTTGATGCAATAGGCTTCCGGTTGACCTCCGGTTGTCAATTTTGACAAAGGAAGTAAAGGGAAAATTCTGAAAAATAAAAAACGGTGAAAATTAAGGTATATACACCTAATAGGGACTATAGACCTCAGTACCTGGTATAAATTTCAACTTGCTAGGTCCACCCATCCCTTAGAAAGTCGGTGGTGACTTACGGACAGACAAACGGACAAGAGTGATCTTATAAGGTTTTTCTTTTTTTTTACAGTACATTTATGGAACCCTAAATGTTTTGTGTGTCTTCAAGTCGATTCGAGAATGGTTTACATTCACAATTTGGTTCACATTTTTTTTATTTCGTTATATATATAAGTTGTCGGATTTAAGTCGTGTGTAGTCGTGTCCAGGCTAACGTCTCTTGGGTCCGTTAGTTGCTTTATAAAACGTGGTAAGTGCGAAAATTCATGCATGTAGTAATTCCACTTGAACCTTGACCGTACACGAATTATTCACACCCACTTTTGTTCCCATGAATACGCCGTGAACATTTGAACAGACTCGAAAATGTGCAATTTGTTACGGGCGAAGACTCGCTAACAACATTGCAGTGTTATTTGGCTAACTACAGCGATAAGGGGGGCTTTGAGCTGTTAAACGTTTAATTTATGTTCAGAGGAATGTGACTTATTCACGGTATTTAGGAGGTTGTGCCAAGATTCTGGCGGTAATGACTTTGTTTACGGGATAGGGCGGTGGATGTTAGTTCGAGATACACGTAACCTGCATTGTAATGTTTAGGTGGAAATTATACTTCTGATAGTTAGGATAGTTTTGATTGATTATAAAAACTACATTTTTATGTCATAATATATCGCGGTTAGAATAATAACGGGCTTTTTTAAACATATATATGTTACCGGCCAAACCCGATTTCAGGACAAACTAGTTGTGCCTAAGCTAAACTAGTTCTTCCTATACGCGATAGCAATAACTAGTTTAGCCTAGTCCAAACTAATTTGTCCTAAGCCCTATAGGATAGACCAGTTTAGGCTAAGCCAAGGTAGTTGATCCTGATATAAATACTCTAGGACACTATAGGATAAACTGGTATGGCCTATCTATCGCGTATGGGAAGAACTAGTTTAGCCTAGATAAAACTAATTTGTCCTGAAATCGGGTTTGGCCAGTAACATATACATAAATACGCCTATCTCCTAGAGAGGTAGGCATAGATAAAATATCCCTCTTAAGACATAATGTGACTAAATAGTATACGTAGGGCAAGTATTGCTCATTAAAGGCGTTTAAGGTTGTCCTATACCAATTTTGACAACATACATTATTTTTGTCATTATTTCCTGTTCATTATTTTCTGTAAAATGCATTTTTACATGATAAAAGCGCCGAAGCATTCATTTTCAGCGTAACGTCTGTTCAATGAAATAACTGCCCTAAACTGAGATTACTGGAGCCCATCCCCTCAAGGCAATAAAATTTTACAATTGCTTTCTTGATTTTACGCGAACATTATACATATGAAATGAAACTAGTTTATGGATTTTATCGCATTTTCACCTTTAACCATGTATTCCTTTAACTTTTCTAATTTCAATAGTATCGTTGTGCTTAACAAAGGCAAAGAACAAAGTCACGTTTGCAAGCAAATCGAATTCCTTTCAAAGTTCTGGAAAGCCCTGCGGTGCTACTGATATTAATTAGGGGATATCCTCAAGGGCATTTTCATATTTCTTCCATAGCTAAACGTATTAATAACATGTTGTATAAGCTCTCATAAATACTGTTTGGAAACAAGTAGAATATAATTTTAAAAACTAAAAAACCCGACTGCGTTTCTGCGTTATTTTTTATTTCGATACACCCAGAGTTATTCTCACAGTAAATACAAATCTAACGACACCTCTGAAGCTAAAGTCCACTAAGCCGTTCAGGCTGCAGAGCGTGCCAAACAATTATAAATACATACATACTCTCGAAAAACATAACCTTCTTCTGGCGCAGTCGGGTAATGAGCACAATGATGGGAAAGAATACTTGATTACAACAGGCAATAAGCAAGAAGGTTAGAATACAAAATTCTTCCGCTCTTCAACGTCGTGAAACCGAGTAAGTATGAAAACTGTGGCCCTCACGGTGACAAAGTCAATTCTTAACGCGTTTAATGGATATTAGACGTCGTTACCTTTAACGAGGCGCACTTGATGGCCTCGGCTGATGTAATTTACCGTTACTCATACTTGCTTGGATTCATAGTGGCGACAAAAAGCATAACATTATCTCATCACGTTGAGCTTAATTTCTTCGTGTATTTTATTTATTTAAGAAGATAACGACATAAGGTACAAACATGCCTAATGATAGTAATAAAAATTACAGAACAAATCATTATAACTAATATCAACACAAACAAAATGTCGTTACCTTAACATTTCAGTGTCATCATAGTTCAGCGAATGTAGCCAGTTTTTTGCAACGTGTTTAGACTCTAAATAGGAAAGATCTTTTATATCATTGCTTAATAACTGAATTATAAACATTACGGTGGTAGGGCCACGCAGCAGCCTCGGCTGTTGCACGAATGGGCAGGCCCGTCCGGCTAAGTACCACGACCTCACAGAAGACCAGCGTCAAGTGAAAGTATGACAAATACTCTCGCGTTTCGTCTGGTGAGTGAGGTAGCCGGAGCCCAATTTTCAAAAGGTTGTCAACGCATCTGTAACCCTCGGGTGTGGCAGATGTCCATGATAGGCGGTATTACAAAAAAGTGTATGTTATAGCTCGTATTGTATATAGGCCGTAGCCTGGAAAAAGCAGGTTCAAATTCCCGGACGTAAAGAAAAAAGTTTTGTCCATTTTTGAGCATTTTTGTGGTACACTTTACTGAAAAACTATCATGCCTAAAGATTTGTGCTTTATCATAGTAATTTAACTTCATATCTAGATGAGTTATCTGTCAAAAAAATGTAATTTGATAACCATAAAAAAAACATGAACATTAACATTTTGGTATGGATAGAATTTTATTGTACTACTAGCGCCATCTGTTAGAACACCGAAGAGTTAACATCGATGCAACAGAAATAAACTCAATACATCGTAGTTAATCTACTTAAAATGAGTTGAACATATTTTCTATCGAATCGGAATCAGAATATCATTTATTTGCCTACTTTGTGTATAACAATTTATAATCCGGTGGCCGGCGAGCCGTGCAGGGTTGAGTCAGCTAACTTATGTCCTAATGGATCTGTGTTTGCCGTGGTTTAATTATTCGTAATAAGTTAGTAGGTATACCATTACGTACAAACAGATTACGTGTATCATTTATTATGTGTGCTTAGATTCTATTATATACCTACAGAGATTATTTTATTTTAAGAGGACGCGGAGTCTTTGTTTTATCAGCAGGCCACCGTCTGTGTCCTTTTTTATTAGGGTCATACAATATTTCGCCTATTCTATGATTAATCGTAAGGGGGTTGAATTCGTCTTTCGCTTGGTAGGCGTCACCAGGAAATTCAAGATCTTCTGTTTGTAATTTTGCGATGGTTTCCAGCATCTTGGTATTAAGGTCCTCTGCGCGTAGATGCCAGGCTTCTATATCAGCCATCTCCCAGATCGCTTCTGTGGGTGTTCGTCTTGGTAGTTGTGCAGCCGTTTTCAGTGCCATTCTGTATTGGCGTTCGATTTTACTTAGATTTGTTGCGCTATACCTAGAGAGAAGTTGTACTACTCCGTAGTCCATCAGCGGTAAGATACAGCCCTGTATGATGGCCAGTTTCGTGTCTAGTTCGGTCTTCGCATTGTATCCTATTATTGGGCCGAGTGCTCCTCTGACTTGTTTTAGTTTTTTGATAACCTTTTCGGTGTGCTGGTTCATCTTCATATGTTTATCGAAAATGACACCGAGGTATCTGATCTGTTTTTGATAGCGCAACGGTATTTTTTCTCTTTAGAGAACATGATAGATTCTGTTTTCTCTACGTTACACTTAAGCCCCTATCTCGTGTAGTAGTCAATGATTATTTCAGCCGCCCATTCGACGCGCATAGTCGCATGATCTGGATTCGAGGCTCTGTTGAGAATACAGAGATCATCCGCATGCTGTGAGAGCTTAAGTCCTCTGATGTTGTATTGTATATCCCAGATGTCATGAACATACATGTTGAAGATTACCGGCCCTAGGATCGAGCCTTGGGGCACGCCGTGAGGTATCAGTTTATCTCTGGTATTAGTAGTTCTGAATCTACCCCTCAGGTTTCTTCCTTCTAATAGTTCTCAATTATTTTTATGACATCATTAGGAACGTCTTTATCCTGAAGTTTCTTGATTAGGCTTTTGTGGTTGATCGAATCAAAGGCTTTCGATAGGTCTGTAGTCTATGTTTTAAAAAAGTTAACATTTCTTGAAGAACAATTTTTTTTGATTTTTTAACAACATTGCCCTTACTTTAGGATAACATTATCCTTTGCTGTAAGAACGTTTTACAAACATAAATTTCACGCGGACAAATATCCAGAGACAAAACAATTATCTATGGGTCACACAAATAGTTGTCCCGTGTGGCAATCGACCCCCGACGTCATAGCCAATACCTAGGCAACTACGCCACGGAGACATCTGATCGATTAAATTGCTCAAGTTCGTCAGGTTATTACTATATATCGATTTAAACACCTTCAACCGAGTTTCCGCCTTGCCGTGGCGGAGGGGCTTAGTGGCCGTGGCTTGCTCATCCAGTGCGAAGCTAAGTGGAACCCACCAAATCTGATTTAAAAATTATTACCTACCCTTTAGAAAAACTACGCGAGCCCTCACGAAGCTCAGCTTTTTGCTAGTTTTCAACAGCATAAAGCTAACTACTTACAACATATAACCATATATTAACAATTATCCAACTCATTCATTCATCCATGAGTGGCATCCCCGTGAGGTAGACAAAAGTTGTAGAGACAAACAACTGATCTCAAACACACTCATCGAGTATTTTATAACTATCTTTAACTGCCTGTCTAAATATCCTTAGTGTCCGTTTAAGTAAAGTGAAAAATCGAAGCGCCATGTTACTCTACGCATATTTGGCATGGGTTTCTGCGACGAGAAAAGTTTTTGCGATGCCATTTAGGACACGCTGAGGCGTCAGAAACAATTTGGCATGCGTAGCTGCGGGCACGAGCGGCCGCACACTTCGTTGGCGTTTAAAACTTTTTATTTCGGTCCTGCGTCAAAATAACGTACAGTATGACTTATAAACGACTATCTTTTCGCCCGCGGCTTCGCACGCGTTAAAGCTGTTAAATAAATATTAATCAATAATTATCTTTCTTTAAAAAATATATATGCATATTTTAAAAGAAAGATATTTTCAACGCTTTACAACACTTTTTACCAACAAAAAATAGCCTAGTCCTCCCTCAGGCTCTAGACTATTTCTGTATCGACTATCATTTAAATCGGTTCAGTAGTTTTGGAGTGAAAGTCAGACAGACAGACAGAGTTACTTTCGCATTTATACTATTATTATAAAGTATGGAAATATGGATTAGGAAGTAGTTTTAAAAAAGCCAAAAATTATCTTTACGTTTTCTATCGTTTTAATTTCTTTCATCGTTAGAGTTACGTACCCAAAGGGTAAAAAGCGACAGGGTATTGCTGAGACTCCGCTGTCTGTCTGTCCGTAAAATTCTCACAGATGATGTATTTCTGTCGCAATACTGAAAAAGAGAATAAAAAAAAATTAAAGTGGGGCTCCCCTACAAGAGACATGATTTTTCACACTTCATGCGCAAATCTGACTCGCACATGGCCGGTTTTTTTAACGACAGCAACATTTACGGACAGAAATAATACGAGGAAATGAATAATAAATACCTTACCTTTTTGGAACAGAAAAAATTTTGTTGCAAAATTAAACATTGGGCCCCCACTTCATATTAATATATTTAAGATTAAGTCCCAGTCGAAAAACATAATATATCAATATAAAAATTGTAAAATAAAAAAAATACAATGCTTTGACAAGCACGGTTCATAATATTTGAATTAGTGTTTGGATTACAATAAGTCTCAAGAGAGCAAATGGAAGAATGTTGATCACAATTGTAATGGTACAGAACATGGTGACTAACTATTAAGCCAAAAGATGTATTTAAACCCCAAAATCTACTCGACATTTATGCATAGGTACTACTAATTAAATAACGAACAGGCAATATTATAGAAAGACAATTTTACTCAGGTCAAATGTTAGGCAAAAGCGGTTAAATTTTTTAAAAGGTTTTCTCACGTATTAGACGGACAGACAGACAGACATTGGAATCTTTGTAAAAGGTTTCAGTTTCACCGTTTGGATACGGAACCCTAAAAACGCCCAACCGAAAATAAACGACGACCTAGCAGCAGGTAAAAGCGAAATATCCAACTCGCAATTTCCCTAGCTGCTGTATTAAAATGTAAAACGTCATTTCGAGACAAGCGAACGTTTAAAACAAACATTACGTTTTATTTTTCAAGCGGAGATTTAAATTGAACGGCAAAAATCAGTTATACATTTTTATTGTCATTTTGTCAAAAGCAATAGTTTTTTTAAGCATAGGCTATATATTGCGCGTTAGCGCTAAGTGTGAAATAGACATTACAAAATTATACCAACATACAAAATAGGTGTTTATCTAAATTCATAATATTAACAGTCATTACGCTGTGAAAAAAAATAAAGAATTATTGTTTCTCGTTTATATGCAGTGTACTGATACAGGCTTAAAACCTGTTGTATTAGGAATAAAATAAGTTTCGAGAAACGTGTACAACCGTATACCGTAATCATTGGTGAACAACCCAGCATCTTTGCCACTTATGGTTTGGATGTAATAGATCTTAGTATGTATAACAGATCATCTAAGTAGCGTTGCGGTGACATTTCCGAGAGGTGATCCCTCGGCCACACCCTCGGCAAGTGAAGCTCCCATGTTGTTCTCGGTTGGCGGCTCTTTCTTTACGCCTTTGACGCCTTTTCTTTAAAAGATCGAACCAAGATTCGTTAAGCTTAGATCGGTCTTCTCGAACAAGTTTACGCCACTTGTTAGATAACTTACAAAATAAAAATTCTCTCACATATTATTTTTAAATTCCCTCACAATTTACCTCAAAAACTAACTGGATTCTTTAGAACAAGTTTGCCTTAAGCTAGGTTTTACAGAACGCGGGAACGTTATCAAGAAAATAGGATCAACACGATAATCCTATTCAAAGTCAAAGTCAAAGTCAAAGTATATTTATTCAATATAGGCCTAACTTAAGCTCTTATTTAACGTCAACAAAAATCTACCACCGGTTCACTAAACTAGACCTGCACAGAGAAGAACTGGCAAGAAACTCTGCGGTCTTGTTCTTTTTGTTATATATATATTTTTTAATGCAATTATACACACTTATTTGGGTATAAAATCAGCAGCAGCCAGGGGTCTTGCAAGTGCAGAGCAAGAGTCATTTCCAAACATCCTTGTCCTCTATGTATTCTTGGATATTATAATAGGCCTTGCCATTAAGGTAGCTTTTACAAATTGTTTGAAATTGTTTATAATTAGTTGTTTTTGGATGTCACCTATTTTATTATAAAAGTTGATGCATCTTCCAAGAAACGACTTTCTGGTTTTAGCTAATCTAAACCTCGGTACTTCCAGAGTGTCACCACGGCCCCGACGCGATGTGGATTGTTTTTTCGTAAATAGGTGGATATTATTACGTACATACATGATGTTCTCAAGTATGTAAAGCGACGGGAGCGTCAAAACGTTTATTTGCTTAAATGTATGTCGTAGCGACTCACGTGGACCCAAGCCATAGACGGCCCGTATAGCCTGCTTTTGTAATACAAATATTGTGTCTAGACCGGATGCGGAACCCCAAAGTAAGACACCATAGGACATTATGCTGTGAAAATAAGCATAATAAACTAATTTTGCAGTTTCCTCGTTAGTTAGCTGCCTAATTTTGCGTATGGCAAAGACGGCAGCGCTCAATTTCTTAGCTAACTTATCTACATGTAATCCCCATTGCAACTTGGAGTCAACGCTTATTCCAAGAAATGCTGTTGAATCCTCAAGGGGTAGGATTTTCTCATCAATAGAGATTCCTGATTGGTGACACAACTTTGAAAGAGTAAATCTAATACATTTTGTTTTATTGGAGTTCAAAAGTAAGTTATTGGTAGCAAACCAGCCAGACACAACATCTAGTATTTCATTTGGTTGTTCCAGTGCATCATCTTTCCTTTTAACTTTAAACAATAATGAAGTGTCATCAGCAAACAAAACAATCTGAGACCTTTTTTCCACTATATATGGCAAATCATTAATATAAACTAAAAACAGAAAAGGGCCCAGGATCGATTCTTGAGGAACGCCCATTTTTACTTTTGACCCCTTTGACAATATACCATTTATGATTACTTTTTGTTCCCTGTCAGTAAGATATGAGGAAACAAAGTCAATGGCACAATTGCGAATACCGTAATATTCCAATTTCCTGATTAGAATTGTATGATCTACACAGTCAAATGCCTTGGAAAGGTCACAGAACACACCAATGGTGTCATGAAAGCTTTCCCAGGACTGCAGGATATATAAAACTAATTCTATCCCTGCATCAGTTGTAGATCTACCTTTACTTTATTACGTGGTATTACTTCGCTCCGATGGTTTTGTTTAAAATTGAAGGGAAAATTATTGGTTTCGTGTAATAATGCACGTATGATGTTTAATTTAAGCAAAAGCTTTTCCTCAACGTTTCCCTTATTTTCTCTGGAAAACTGTGAAACGTGCTCATTCTAATGTGTAGCAGGTGTCAGTGCTTATGTACGTGCTATTTTTTTATACTCAAGCGAGC